AGCCACAGCCGTCCCCCACCTCGCAGTTGCTGGGCTCGCCCCACTCCTCCGCGTGCTTCACGCTGGGGCACGGCGTGCTGCGGTACTTGTACTTCCGCGGTGACCTACGCTTATCCTAACATACAATAATTCATTTAAAAAAAATACTCAAAACATAGATTCAAAACAAATTTGTAGTCTAAAATAAGTTTTTTACATTTTTTAAATGAACTACATGGAATGTCCACATGTACACTACTAAAACTTAGGAAAAGTTCTACTAAAGTAAACAAATATGACTCACTTTACTATTGTGATACTGCGGGCAGGCATACCCTTGTCTACATAGTCTAGGCGGTCTTTTACATGGCTCTGTTTTATATGATGACAATACATAATTTGTATCTGAAATAAGATAGGAAACATAGTAAAAATTCTTACACCTATATCCAATGATATATGATAAACAAAAAAGAATAAATTATAAATAGTATAGAACTTTATAACAATACACAAGAGGTACTTTTATTGAAATTAGCAACAGACATGACTTGTCTAAAAAACAATAACTAAAATACATAGTACATATAAAATCACACTTTTTAATTGCTTTTACAAACCTTGCCATTTTGGATCTTCATTCATTAAATTCCGTTCTCTATCGAGTGCATTTGGAGCCGCTGCATCTCCATCGGCACCATCAGGATTCTCTAAAGCTTGAAGTTCCCTAACATCAAGGACCGGGGGGCGCAAATCTGGTGCGCCATGCGCAAACGCACAATGTGCACCATTCTTGGTGCACAGTCCACGAGCATCTGTATCATGGACGCACATACATGTCTTGTAATACCGTAGATGGTAACGCCTTTCCGTGTCACCCGCTGTTCTATGAAGATATGGACACCTTGGAAAAAAAAAATTAATAAATGTTACTAATATAAAAACAAAAGTTGAGATAGATGGATGGATGTTTGTTAGCATATGCTATCTAGATGTAGACGATAGTCTGGAAGAACACATAGGCTACATAATTTTTTTTTTTAATCACTCATGGATGAAGTTATTGAATTGTTTACTAGTAAATATAAATATATTGCTTAAATACCAAATATTTGTTATTATTCTTTAACATTTTACATAGAAACAAGACAATAATCATCATGATTCTTATTGGAATAATAGTTATAGCAACTTTTTATTAACTATTATTCATTATACTTAAAAATATTTGAAATCCAAATTCCATGTCAAAGTTTATTAATAAATTTCTAAACGATAAGATCTTTGAAATTGATTGAAACTGTTCCTTATTCTTAAAAAGTTCGATACTAACATTTTAGCTCAGGATTTTAACAGAAATAAAAACATAGAATTTGTACAATTTTATTGTTAAGAATGGATATTCAAATTTCAATCCAACAGAAAAACAATTCAACAAGAACTTATAAGAAACATAATGCTCCTATAGTAAGGGGAAAAGGAAGCGGTACAACAAAGACAAGGCACTCACTCATCGCCGTCTTCGCAAATGCCCGAAGTCTCGTTGTATTTGGCACAATAATTGTCAGCGCTATAATTAAATGATCCGTCTCTTTTTCTAACAGGTCTTCTTCTTCTCTGATTATTAAAATGCCAATGAAAACATGTAAAAGGTCTATGTTGTGTACATTTATGTTGTAGAAATGATGGACACTGCTCCACTCGGAATTCCTTCAAATATCTGCAACACGACATCACTGAACTTAGTATATTGTATACGCCGATAAACTATACCTTTCGCGGATTCACTTTCGATAAAAAACTATAAAATAAATAACTATTTACTTATAATGGTTTGGTTTTTCTGTTTGAGCTGTCAACAAAGGCTTAGATTCCGACGGCATTTTGGTGAACTATTATGTATTGCGCCTCTCGCGTCGCGCAGGGCACGCTCACCGATGACCAATTAAAATTCAATATATACGATCACGTGATACTCTGTATTTTAGAAAGCTATTAATTGTAAATAATAAATTAACTGTATAAAATTTCCTTCTGGTGAAGCAAACATTTTAATTTTAAATGACCTTGAACTTAAAGTATTTCGTTATCTCAAACAAGCTACAATGCACAAGATATAAAAAAATACCTACAAATGTAATCAACATTGACAGAAATGTCACGTCTCATGTTTTCCTTTTATCTCTTTTTGTTGCGTTTAAAATTTCGTGAGAAAGACTAAGACAAAAAATAGGTCGCTCGATCAATTTTTTGTTTAGAAAGTAGGTATCATAACAAAAGAAACAAGTAAAAACATAGGGACATGGTCCCTTTCTGTTTTTACTATGTTTTTATAAGAAAATTTTCAGCATAGAACTTAATAGAAAAGAAACAGAGTAAGATTAGTTGCAGTAATGTGTAATTAAAAAGAAAAAGATAGACGAACTTTACGATTTATTGTGCAGTTTCTAAATTAACATCTAAAAACCTTTGTTCTTGTTTAAGAAATAAGAAAAATACTTTCCTATTTTCATTTTCAGAAAAATTAGATTAAGAGTTTTGTTTTTCTAAAGATATTTTATTTTTCTTTTGAATATTTAAATTGGCCCTGATGTTATTATCTATGAACTCCAACATTTTTTTATCCTCCAACACTGATATTGTCCAATGGAATAAGAATATTTCAATCCGTTAAAAACTTTGACCAATCGCAAAGCTTACTTTTACAACCAATGGTAACATTGGAAATGCCACTTAGCGAACCAATCACGGCTTAGAAAATTGGCGTCGCTCTTCGCCCGCCATTCTCTCGACGCCATCTTTAGCATATGATCATTGTTGTGACCCTCGTCTTAAATTTCATATAAATATATTTATAATTGTACTTTTTCTATAAAAAGGTGTGTAAAAAAGTGTTAAATATCATAAGCTACGTTTATAATATTGAAATTTTGCTTAACTTCACCTTGATTCGCAAATGTGAAAATTTCAAAATATTAGCTATTTGTGCAATGTTTTATTGTTAATGGAAATCGTTGAAAGTCAGTTTTATTTCTTTTTTTAGTGAAACATGGCTCGTACCAAGCAGACCGCTCGTAAATCCACAGGAGGTAAAGCACCTCGCAAACAATTGGCTACTAAAGCCGCGCGAAAATCGGCGCCCAGCACTGGTGGTGTTAAGAAACCTCACCGTTATCGCCCGGGTACAGTGGCCCTCCGAGAAATTCGTCGTTACCAGAAATCCACTGAATTGCTCATCCGTAAACTGCCGTTCCAGCGTCTCGTAAGAGAAATTGCTCAAGATTTTAAGACTGATCTTCGTTTCCAGTCCGCCGCCATTGGAGCTTTGCAGGTGGGATTTTTAACAAACGAGCTTTATGTGAAAATGTTTTGTTAGATGGTAACTAATGTAAGGAATGTTTTTTCAGGAAGCGAGTGAGGCATACTTGGTGGGTTTGTTTGAAGACACCAACTTGTGCGCCATCCACGCCAAGCGTGTCACCATCATGCCCAAGGATATTCAACTGGCGCGACGAATCCGCGGAGAACGCGCTTAAACTTTTATTATAATGTACCTTATAAATTATTTGTAATTCAATTAGATATAAATTCTAACATTGTTTAACATTTCACATTTAATTCATTTAAGTCTCATCATTATCGTAAGGAGGAAGAACTGATTTTTTATAATTATGTTCTTATTTATAAGTTTTTTGCATTGGATGTTCGTGTGGCATAACTATCCATTATGCAGATGTCGACATTAAAGCAGTATAATTCTTAGTGACTTTTGGTATTTCTAAGTAGTATAATAATAGACAATATTGGACACAAGTATGTGACCATTATGTACTTGCTTAATTGCACTAATGTAAACTTATAATGAGAAATTGGTGTTAATAAATTTAATTAGGACTTATACTTTGTTTTAATTATTCTTAAGTATTGCACTATTTTATCTACTTAATCTATAATTGATAAATAATCTAAAAGGAAATCTAAAATATTAAAAACAAACTAATTTATCATTATTTTTATTTAAATCTTATCACCTCCTAGATGAAGATTTGGATGCAAAATAAAAAGACAATTTCAAATAAATATTTACTGAGTGAAATAATCTTAACTGTTTATCTAACTAGCTTTATAACATTTTTTAAATATTAGTCAGTTTTCTTTCGTACTGAGTTACATTACAAATGTTTATTTTATAAAATCAAACTTATTCTACTGTATTTGCTTTCATGTTTTCTTCCTCTTCAATTTCTTTCAGCCTTCTTTCGATATCTGCAACACTTTTGCCATGTTCCTTGTTATGTTTATAAGATAACAGTAATTGTGTTTTCTCCAAACCTTGAATTCTTTCATAAAGCGTTTTACTAAATTCAAGATCCACATCATTCTCTTCTCTCAATAAACAGAAATAAAGCAGGAATATGGCAACACTGCCCACTACACAATAAGGTTGGTACCATGGGATATCTATCTTGACATTTTTAATTGGCTTTATGGTTTTTTTCGCTGCAGCACCACTTGTAGAAAACTTAATAGGCTCATTTTCATTTATTTCCACATTACGGCTTGAGAAAGCTCTCCCATTATGTCGTCTAAAGCAGCTTCTAATGAAATACAAAGGAAATTATATTTAAAACCAAATCAAATTCATAAGGCCAATAAAAATTTAAGATATTCATACAAATTTATAAACTCGGACATAGTAAATTTAACCATAACCATAAGGTTTATGTTCTAATTCCTTAATACTATACAAGACTTGTTGTCTTGTTAGTCTTAAGCACAAAATAATAAAAAAAAATTAGTTTCTTAGAAACCTTTGTGATTTTAGTATACCAATAATTAAAATATTTGACTCATGCAATTGATTGAATGTCTTCATTCAAATTATATGTATGAGTCATATTAAGTATTGTGCAACTAAGTGATAAATCTTTGTTTTCCTCAAATCATTAGCAAGGAATTCCAGTTCAGATTACATGGAATTTTTAATAAAAACATTTTGATTGTTTTCGAAAAATGTATATCACTGCTGATAAAATTTGTAATGTGCCAGCATATTGTAGGTACTTTTTAGATATTGAATGTGATCTAAAGGGTGTATATGAAAGATGGTGTGCATTAAAATTATATAACAGAGGCAGAACATAAGATTTGAGTACAGATTAATTGGAATACGTTCCCCGCATTCGTTGTTATATAAAGGCCGGTGTAGTCTATGTTATTACCAATACTTAGCATAGTAGCGCTATTGACTCATAAAATTTCAGGTCCTTGAATAACTTAAAATTACCTACAAAAATATCCAATATAATTATTTACAGTATTACAAATAGATTCCTACTGACCCATACCTTACTAAAAACAAGCTTCTGTTCATTTTTGTGCGTTAAATATGTTTAATGAGGTGTTGAAAACGTTGAATCTTTATGTAAATACAGATATATTTCTAAACATAATTGGTGTCTGCCAGGTTGACATTTACCAGATGGTTTTGACACTGACAGTACGGGCGAGCTAAAGCAAAGAGTAAAGGCGTAGAGTACAGTAGCCTATATTACAATAATTAAATAATAATATGCCCAATTTGAAATTATTTATTTATTCAGCAAAAATATGCACGATGAGAGACACGTATAAAAACGAATTAATTAACTTTTAGTTACTACGAAGACTTGCAATCTTTTCAAGCGAAAATTCCAGCGCATTTTTTAGCCTGAAAGAACAAAAAATACGTTAAAAACCTGCTTACAATATTCCTTGCAGTAGAAAGATGTTATAGAGCTTCGATGTTTTAAATTCACCGAAGTTGGAGAAGTTGAAAAACTCTACACTACAATAAATTTATCGATTCTTGTTAGAATACCTAACAAATTCGTGTCCTGTTTGTGGTTCATTTAACAGTCGATCCCTTTCTATTATTGCGTTTTGTTTTCTTTGCGTTGCTTCTTTAAGTATTCTTTCAAACTGACATTCTTCTTTAACGGGGAGTGTTTTAACTACTTTTGGCAAAGTAACGACTGATTTCGGTTTCATAAGAAGTGCCATAACATCATAATTATCGGACGCATTCTGCACAGCATTGCATAGAGATGACCGTATACTCCATACACCCGCAATGCTTTCGTCCTGACCACATTAAAAGGCTGATTAAATAGTCAAAATGAATTGCATAAGAATTAGTGCACATAAATAAGTAGGAATGATATTAGAATAAGGAACGGGAAAAATATGAGAGAAATAAGAGCGTCGGTGGCTCAGTGGTTTGAACACTTGACTTGTAATCTACAGGTCTTGGGTTCGAATCCCGCCGTGTACCAATGTGATTTTCGATTTTTCGAATTTTCATATGTACATAATTTACCCGACGTTCTTACGGTGAAGGAAAACATCGTGATGCAACCTGCACATATCGGTGAAGAAATTCAAAAATATGTGTGAAGTCAACCAACCCGCACTTGGCCAGCGTGGTTGACTATGGCCTAGTCACCCATTATTAGGGTAGGCTCCGAGCCCCTCGGTGGGGACGTATAGTGAGCTGGTGATGATGTGATGATGAAAAATATGATTCCAAATCCTAAAAAAAATATTGTTCGTATCTTAGTACTAAAACAGCTTATATGTAAAATACCGATTTTTGCCTTAATGCATCCAACTCTTTCTTTTTAGCTTTAATTTGGGCTAATAAAGCATCACGACGTATTTTGACTAATTCTAGCTGGCCACGAAGTTTGTTAATTTTTTTAGTCAATTCTAGTTGATCTCTTCCAGATTTTTCTATGCCAGTCAACGTCTCTTGTATATTTCTGTTTAGCGAATTGATTGTTGATTCCACTGTAAATTATTAATTTTAACATCAGAAACGCTTATTGTTTAATATTACGTAATGTTTTGTATTGCCAAAAGTTGGTGCCATGCCGTATCTCTTGACAGTAATTATAAATAATGAAAACGAAATAAAATGACTATCTTCAGTATTAGGACAATAAAAACAATTGCTGACAAGTTAAACCCAACTGGTATCTAGTACCAAATTACTTAATGATACGAATAGGTATGAATTGTCTTACAATCACGATTTTCCCTTAATTTAATTTCAGCGTTTTGTTCTTGAAGTTTAATTTCCTCAATAGTTGCAGCAAGGGACTTCTCCATTTTATTAATACAGTTAAACATTAATTTAACGTGAAAATTAATCGACTTTTGTTTTTTTCTACTGTCGCAAAAAATGAACCTGAAAATTAAAAGTAAACTTTTTTAAAACAAAAGTTGGAAGAATACGAAAGGCACAGAAAACAAACGTTTATTTAAAACAATAATTTAGAAACACCTAGTGTTAATAATTTGTTTGCTATATTTCATTGTTCAATATTTTATTTTCAATATTAAAAGTAATGAAATAAAAAATTAAATGAATGAAAAAAAAATATGTTTTTAGCATTTCTGCGTAAAATAAAACTATTGTTACCGTTTCCATGCAACTGTTATAACGTTGCCGGGGAAATTTAAAAAGTCACATACTTACGTTGAACATAGTGTTTCATTAAATGTTCAGCATTAATTTAAATTGAATATTGTAATGAAATTATTACAGTATTTATAATAAGATGGAAAAGCCAGATGCAAATGGTTATGTTAATATCACTTGGCCGAGTAAAAATATTCCCCACGGCGGTATATTTCACACAAGAGTTCAGGACTTCTCGCCTGCTCAAAAATCGTTCTTAAAAGGTAACAAAAGAGCATCGGAAACGATGTTATTGTTAATGTGATGCAAATATATCTTAATTTAGCACCGAATTTGTTGAGTTTAGCGACGAAATATTATTTCCAGTGTTGTTAGATGAATCAAAGTTTACAATCGCTCAGCGTCGTAAGACCGCATTCACTTTACGTCAAGATGACCCTCGCAAAG